ATATTTTTATTATATTTATTATATTTATAAAGTAATTATAAATATATTATTCTTCTCGAAATATCCTGAATTAATTTTTATACCAAAAAACTAACCTTCAAGATGATGTAATCTACCCATGGTATACTGCTGAGGACAATGCCAATGATTAAAGCCAGTAAGCCAAAACAAATTGCTGCTATTCTACCTGAAAGCAACAAAAAAAAAATAGGGTTAAAATAAGAAGGCAAAAAATATACCCATTTATTCTTTATAATTTATCAATTCAAAAAAATTATTTAAAAAGCATATATGAAATTTAAGTCATTATCCGCGGATGTATTTTGGACATAAAATTATATATTCAAAGCATTAAATTATTTTTTCTAGACATTAAAACAAAAATTTTTTTTCGTAAATAAAAAAATTTCTAGTTGTTATTAAAACGAAGTGAAAAATATTAGACGTAGTCGCGAGCGCGAAAGAAATAAGATTTTATAAATTAAAATTGTATATATTAATTTAATTAAATTTTTAACATGGTGACTAACATAGCACTTGAGTTGCAAATATGAAAATGAAATGATTAATGTAGCATTACATAATTATGTGTTTGCATTACTACAAATAAAAACTGGTGGTCATTGCAGCCAAAAAATAAAAAAATTAAAGTAAAAAAATATGAAGGAAAAATTAAATTATACTAATGTAAATGAAAGTAGTCGATGGATATATACCTACATCCTTCTAATCAACAGTGAAATTTTCTATATCTATACTATCTACAACAATTACCATATAAGGTGGTAGTCGTACTCTAAAATTCCGCATTCCACGATAGGCAATTTTACCCGATAGGTCGATTAATCTGGCATTTCCTGAAAGTCATGCGTGTTCAGGTTTCTACAAATATGTGACTTAGCTAATACATGCAAGAAAGTAAATAGGTATCTTTCTCTGCGATCAATGATAACGATATATGAACGAAATTAAACACGTACACGGATATGAACATATACGCACATATAAAATATACACATACGTCGATATTGAAAAGAAAGTTATAGACCACGGACATCTGTCAACAAAGTAATGAGCGACCCTGATATTATGTCATCGTATAAATCCTTTAACGTAATAACCATGAAACTTGCGCAATCACGGAAATTTCCATTACCTGGATTTGATAATCAACCCTTGCTTACTACATTCCAAACACATTAAACCGAATAAATTGATCTTGAGTTGTATTCATTTGTGGTTAGATCATTCACCTATTAATACTTCTTTATTATCATCTTAACTATTATTAGATTTCATTTTATTTAATTATTTGAGAAAATCCTTATATATACAATTCATTTGAAATTTTATTTTAGAATACATCGCCTCATGTAAATATATAATACATTTACAAGCTCGAACGATTAAATATTTTTGCATCAATTAAAGATAATCTTTATATTTGTGGATAAAAATAAAAATAAATGATTGAAACAAAACAAGGTTATACAAAACTGGTGACAAATATCATTATATATAGTAATTCTTTACTACCAAAAATAAACAAAATATTCTCCAAAATATTCTCCAAAATTTACATACAAACCTAACTAGGAACATCAAACGACATCGAATTTCCTTATTTTTTATCCCACCAATTGGCGAAAAAAAACTATTTATCATTCATGTTTATAAATGAGTAAAATATAATATTCAAAAAAGCATGTATATGTGTGTAGGGGAAAGTCCCGTAAGGCCGGACGGAACCTAGCGCCGGGCACTTGTATTATCTCAAAAAATAACAACCTGAATGATTCAAACACAGGGAAGCGTAGTGGTACAGGGTCATACGACGCAGTTTATCAATGACGCTTAAGGCAACATCGGGAATGGTCGATTTCTGTTTTCAGCAAGAAAACACTGTGTCACGTCACGTAAGATCCAGATGAATGTTACAGCTAAATTTCTGGGTTTAAGTATTTATGGTATTTGTTAATTTATGAAGGTTTCCATTATTAATCGTTGTCTATGAAATTTGCTGTTGATTTTCAAAACGGATTAGGTATAGATCACATAATTTTGGTATTATCATGTCCCCTAGTACCGAACACAAAGTAGTCTCTTAACGCCGGACAGTAAAAACATTTCTTTTTTCTCGTATATAGTTATATTTGTTACGTAAAAACACATCAAAAGGAATAAATCGCAGACCTATATAATCGTACCCTGGCCATCGACGAGCTTGAATCCAGATGTTAACGAGATATAACATCTCGACATAACATTTTTGATATATATATATATATATAAATTCATTGGATTGTCAGTTTAAAAGAGATCATTGCCAATCATTACTATGCTTGACAGCACCGATTTAATTGCATAATTTAAAATCGAAACAGGTAGTTAAAATAAAGATTTATAGTAATATAAAAATAAGTTATAGCACACGATAATTTAAATGTTAAATCTTGTTAAAAAGTTTTTATCTGCTCATCAATTTCAATGTCGAGTAAATAAATTAATCGACGAATGGGATCATTTTAATCTTGAAGAAATAAAATAATCGATTAATGAGAAAACGAATAACACGTGTGATTTTTTTTATCTAATATTCGCATTAAAATTTAAATCTAACTGTAAACATCACAGAGAAAGTATTTCAACTTCTTATTCCAAAATATTCGGTGGATGGTATTTATTAATTACTAAATGGTATAAATCACATAGATGATTACATAATGAAACGATCTCTCTTCCAACAAAACTAATATCAGTTCCATTTCTTAATCATGTACTCGTTCCGAAAAATTAACGAATGTTAATGATTTAGAAAATTCTTCGAACGACATCTGATATTTTGTCGAAATTCGTAATATGGTAATTTATTTAATCATTTGATGATATAAACGTGAATTCTACAAAGTAGAAATCCTACTTTAATAATTGTATTCATTTATTAAAATAAGTTCTTTCGTTTATTTTCTTTTCTTGTGTTCTAATGAAAAATACAAGACATCTTGGTGTCCTTCTTTCAGTCGTTACCAGATCTTTTCTCGTATCGTCATAGATAATTTTAATGGAAACTCTATTCTATTTACTTCATCTTTAATCGAAGCGAAAACGATAATTTAAATTAAATTCACCATCAGATAATTTGGTGTCAACATAATGAGTAGACATTAAAGATAATTATTATTAATGTCTTTATAGAGACACGAAAATTGCAATTTCAACGTAAATTATACGAAAGCTGGTTCAGTTAGATTGTGTAGTGCGTAAGATATTTTTAATCTTGTCTTAGTGACGACTAAATATAGTCTATTGTATTACTCGTTTGTCTCTCGTTGAATTATTTTCATTCGTGCAAAGATGTCTCATCATTAAGGTCACTCATAGTTTTTGTTCAATAAAAAAAACTTTCCGAGATTTTAAATTTATAAATAATGTTATTCATTAAAATAAAAACTTATGTAACAAAAACAAGTCCATTCAATGAATTTAATTTTAAGATTTCATAACCAATTTAATCGGAATGGATCGGCAATCGTTTATTGTTCGATGAAGCTTGTCTTTTTAACCTCAATAAAAGTAAAAACCACTTGATTTTTATGCGAAAAAAAATATAAGAAAATAAAATAAACATAAAGGTAGAACATAATTGTCTACCTAATCAAACATTCGTACAGTAAGTAATTTATTGTTATTGTGTTATCTTGTCGAAGGCCATTGTGTTTAAAAATCATCCCTGACAAATAAAAGAAAAAAAAATTAGAAAACCTATCAACCAGTTTCTCCAAATTCGTTTTCTTCTTCCAATTCAGACTCAAGGTCGATTAATAAAGATTTATTGTAATGTTTATTATCAGAAAATGTAAGTAAAAGAAGTAAAAAAGAAAAAAGTCAATTTACCAGACATGCTAACGAATGTAAGCATCGTAAAGTTTATATTTTTTGTCTATATATAAACATCTATAAAGAATGATCCTTGCTAAAATTTCTTTATAAAAGAAACTTTCATTTATTATCCAAGGTCAAAAGCGGATTGCCAAGTTGTAGACATTAGTGTAGTAATCAATTAAAGGACAATTATTAGAAAAATATGTAAAAAGTTAGACAGTACCTTAAATTAATCGACAAGGTATACTTGGCCTTGTTTCTTTTGCTAATATTTTATCTCTTTCTTTTCTCTTTTTCTTACAACATTGAAAGTTAATAATCTAGAACAGTATTTCGTAACTTCCACGCCTATAAACGTTACCAATCTGTATGCTTTAAGTACTCATCAAATGTATTAAAAAGTACAAAATATCAACTCTGATTGATCAACTGAATGATTTTATTTGTAAAAGTGAAAAATCTATAAAATATTTACATAAATGAAACTTAATTTAAAAAATGAAAACCAGTCTAACAAGATTAAAAGTTGAAAGTATCGTGCACTATTTATTTCTATATTCGATTAAGTCTCTTTACGATTACTTGACAAGTTTCGATCTCTATTGAAGCTATTTGTTATAAAATATGAACGATTTTTAAATAAATATTTAATACAGATTTTTATAAATTTTTCTTATAATGAAACACCTCTCGTAAACCTCAAAATTTTATCGAAATTCTTTAATTTTTTTGACAGATTAGATTGATAATAAATAAAATGAGCAAGTAAATATAAGAGTTAAGAAAATAAAACAAAACAAAACAAATATTTATTCTCAAATATAAAATAAGCATACGGAAATCGTAAGATAAACTTTTTCACGAAATACCTAATTGCTTTCACTAATATCCCGCGGAACATATCTTGAAAAACGCTTAATCTGACAAATTTTATTGAATCGATTGAATTTAATTTTATGCAAGATATTAAATTATGCGATGAAACGAAAAAACGCTGTACTTTTTAATTAAACGATACATATACACATTAAAACAATATTACGACACACATTGTAATTTTATTTGCAAGTGCGGAACTTCTGCAATTTTTTACCTAGATAAAATTATCTAGATTTATTATTATATTAATCTATGTCATATTAACAAACAAGATGACGTATTTTCTTCGTACCTTGAAAAAGTTCCTTGAATATTAAATAAACATCATGTTATAAAACATGACAATCATAATATCGATTTCTGATAAGAAGTATGTGCAGTATATATACATTCATGCTTCATAAAACATGATGGAAAATATTTACTTACAATTTATCAAGTAAAAAAAAATTTGTTTAAGTGACACGCCTGTATAGTAATAACAATATATCAATTTACAGTCGATATTATGCTTATTCATAATTTTACGAATGTTCACAAAGTTGCGTATGATCGTTAACTTTCACTAACACGATTTTTTATATCTTCTCACGTATAACACGAAAAATTACCGAAAAATCGAAAACGTTTTAATTGATTTCTCGCGACTCGGTTAGGTCTAATTTTAAAAATCGAATAAAATACAAGATTTAACGATGTATCTTCTTGAAATATATAGACCATCGAATAAATGAAACAGACATTGAAAATAAAAAGAAAGGAAACTGAATTACGACATAGATTTATGAAAAATTACCACATAAGTCATAGGTATTACCCACTACTATCCACATTTACGAAACACTAAAGCAAGTAAATTTTGTTTAAACTTGACGCAATTAAACAATTTGCAAAATCTTCGTTAATTCTTAACTTCTTGTTAGTAAAAATTCCAACTGAAGGTCGTTGTTACTTTGTTAAGGTCTTTTAAGATTTCGAGCGGTTATGAACTCATGTCAGCATGAAAGATTACTTAAGCAAGACTAACGCCACGTAATAAGTGACGAGGACATTTCGTTTCGAAGCAGGGTCGAGTTCGGCAAAATATGCGTTACGTTCGAATCTAAGAACTCGCCTTGGTCATTCTAAATGGATGCTGAGAATACCGAGACAGTGAAAGTGATCTTAAAAAATGTCTGAGAAGTAACCGGTCGGGTTGCATTTACTTGAAGAAAAATAAGAAAAAGGAGAAGGTTTCTCTTCTATTATTCGTGAAAAGAAACCTTTGGTCATATGTTAATGAATAATAAAACGTCGTAAAAATAAGTATTGCAATATATGGGAAAAACCTTTCAAACTGTCTTAGAAGGGATTTTGTAATATTTAAAAAGAGAAGAAAAAGAAAAGAACATTGCTATATTTCAACGAAAGATTTTAATATTTTATTTACCTGTAGAAAAAAAAATTAGTTATATCGTTTTCAATTATCATATCGATCTTTGAAATTTGAATTTAAGTAATACGAAGTAGCGTACGTAATCATTCGAGCGTCAAAAAACAACACAGATCATAAACAGTTCCGTAACATTTCATTATAAGTTTTCTTCTGCGTCCTTCTTTTTTGTCTATGTTTACTACCGTCATTACGTCCTCGTTTGACATTCGCCACGAAAAAAGAAAAAGAAAAAAACAATTCTTGGAAATATCCTTTGGATCGAATATGTTAAAAGTAAAGTAGTAGTTCTGACACGTTTTTTCTTTTTTCACAGATGAAAAGAAATGAAAAACAATGTAATTATTACCAGAAGATTCATGCAAAAAATCAATAGATATAAGTTGATTACTTATAACAGGATAATTAAAATTTATGAAATAGAAAAGATGATTTATAGAAATGTCAAGTTTTAATGATAACGAAGTATTAAAAAAAAAAGTTAACAAAAATTGGGAGAAAGTGAATTTTATCATATAAAATTACTCATAATTATTTATATAGAGAGTAGAAATTATACTATAGTGGAACTAGAATGTTAAATGAGAAAGCAACTTGCACAGTGAAGGCTGGATAATGAAGTACAAGTAAGAAATATGAACTGGGAAGTGTAAGATAGGAAAGTTTGACGGGAAGTGATTGTAAATTGAAAAAATTATCGATAAAAAAAAATTCTCCAATTTGTGCGAATATATGACGATTAATAACTCATAACTCCTATGTATTTTATTTTTATTTTGAATCAACTTTTAACTTTCGCATCGAAATTGAAAAAAAAAGTATTCAAAGGCGGGATGAATAAGTGTTAATTTATAGGATGTAAATGGATAAACATAATAGAAGAATATTGATATCGCGCTTGTGCGATGCTATCTGGTAATATTAATGTGTCAGAATTAAAGAAAAAGTTGTCGCGAATATAAAACAAGGAAGTATTTATACTTTTGATTTACGACGAGAGAATTAACATTAAAATCTAAAAAAAAAAATAAATAAATGCTTTGCGAGGCATTACGAAGAACAATACACGCCTATTTACATATGACTTCTTTAAACAATTGACGTCACGGAAACAGATAAGAAAATTTAATGATAATGAATTGACACTTTAATCGTTGTACGTATGAAATTTTTAAAAAAAATTTTTAAATATACGTACGAATTCAAATGTCATAAATGTTTCTATAGAAAAAGAAATCAAAGAACTGCCGTGAATAAAATTTCCTCCAAATCAATGAACGAAATCGAGATTACAATTTCTCTCTCTTTCTCTTAAAACGATCGTACGAGAAAGATATTTTGAAAAGAAGAAAGCAAACCATACACTTCCACATACAAATTATAAATTTACACCTACCATGTAATTGAAATAAATAGCTAACTGCATCTCTCACGTGTATGATCTATATATACAATACACGTACTTCTTATGAGAATAACCTCTTAGCAAGGTAACATATATACATATGTATATGTTGCCGGTGCAAGTGACTATCGTAATAGAAAGTTTGCGATTGCGGCAAATCTGTTAGATACAGCGGACCAACTTTACCGTAGTCAATATGTCGTCGAACGAGGAGTCATCGAATAGCGTGCTTACAACTTTTACGACGTTTACTTACGTTAAAGTTACCCTAACTTCTCTGACTACTAGTATTGTATTAACTATGAACATGCATAGGATGCTCGACCAACGTTACGGTTCGTTTAGACACGTCATAACGGTCCAATAATTGCTTCTGATTATAATATACCGCAGTTGACAATTTAACGGATCAAAAGATAACCGGACATAAATAAACTAGACAAAAGTTAGTCAATTTTACAAATGGTAATAGTTATTCTTTATTTCGGTTAGATTTTTCTTATTCCCGTTAAATATCCTCTCACGAACAATAATTATTAGAAAATTTGTAGTGTTTCACTTATACCGTTTCATGTCATTTCATATATTTCCATAAGTCTTAAGTAGGACTAAATGTAAATATATATCTATATATACAGTAATATTCCTCTCGAAATACACGCGACGTCTGAATGCATTCAATGAAATACATAAATGTTATATAGTTTCTTTCTAATAATACACTTTTTCAATATTATAAGCAACAACCTTTCTAATCCTTTGAATAGAAGCGAAATCCTAACGAAAAGATTATCTTTCAAATCACTCGAAATCATCTCTATTTATTAACGCAAATTCATACATTGAGATTCACCCTATACTTTATGAAATTAGAATCCGGTTCTTTATATTGCATTTCCTAAAAGAGTTTATGAAATAAGGTCATGCGAGACAATATAAATGATACGGCATTAAGTAGAAATAACGATTCGAGAAAAAAAGAAAAAGAAAGAGAGAGAAAGAGTAGGCCGGGGTGCAGTAGGCCAGTGGAACAAGTGATAGAGGACAAGTTGACCCACTGAGTTCTCCGTAACGCAACACTAAGATTACATTTTGCTATCGGCCACATATTTAACGTCTATCGTTCTAAACAGCTCTCCCGTTAGGAATAAATGGAGTCTTCCTCAAGAATCTCTCCGTTATTCATGATACCTGGGAACTTTGTACTTTACGAAAACACATAGCAATTAAGGAGAGAAAAGAAAAAAAAAAAAAAAGAAAAGAGAGAAAAATCGAAGAACCAGTTGTTGTTGTCGTTACCGCAATGACTTTTTTTATTCGGTTCATACGACGATCAATATTCAACAAAACAAACGTTCGTTTTTTTAGAATATACTTACTATGTAAATAAGATAATTAATATTTTCATATAAAAATGATAAAAAATCAATTCTAACCGTGTAATCGATTCTACTAAGATAATCCTATATTATTCTTATTAGAACTAAAGATAATTTTCGCTCGACCGGCTATAATAATAGCAGATTAGAACAGACTATTTGTAACGGCAATTACGACTAATTTCATTACTAGTTAGGATTAGGTCGTTTATCACTAAGGCTGCCGTTAAAATACGCCTTCGTAAGTTCGATCATAATCTTCTGTAATTCAGTATTTCGGAATAGTATTTACGTTGTATTTAGACTTTAAGTAATAATACAGTTTTTATTACTAAAAGTGAATCGTAGACCAACGTACAAGTAAAGAAAGTAAAATATGAAGTTAATGTTATTACTCACTGTGTTTTAACTTGCCGCCTCTGGAAATAAGCAAGGATAATGGTGTTGGCACTTTTTCCGAACATGCACCATTTTTTTGATCAGGTTTTATACCAAGAAGTGCATTCCTTCCAACTTTCATATATCTTCTTCCCATCGTTTTAGGAGACCCATCTCCAAATAACGACGTTATAAATTTCATCCTTATTCTTCTTTAACGAATCCTTCCAGATAAGAATAAATAAAAGAACTATTTTTTTGCAAACGATGAATGAAGAAGAAAAAAAAAAGGAGGAAATCTTCAACAAACTTAATTCACCGGAATATATTTCGATAGTTTACACGATGGACCTAATATAAGATAGAATGTTTTGTGCTCTGTTTATCGAACAATACGTAGAAATCGCGTTATAACTAATTCACGATGTGTTATGTTTAGAAAGCACATCGTCATGTTACTTCTCCCAACATCGTGTAAGGGTAGAATTTTGTATATTATTTCTTTGCCAAGTGTGAGAGCTCATAATAATATTTTTTTTTTTTTATACGAATCAACAACAAAGAAAATGTTTTTCTTAAGTTCGTTTTTATCTTTCGCGTTTTATTTCTTTTCAAATGATAAAGATATATCCTTTAAGAAATCAAGGATGCTTGACCTCAACGCTTTTAGGTGTGAGTTTAGAAGAAAAAAATGAAAAGGAAGGAACAAATCTAAAGGTCGTTGCCTGATGAAGTGAGTTCATGGATCTAACCGCAGATCAAAATTGTTAAACGAAAGGCAGAGTCAAACTTTCACTCTAGGCTATTTCCCTTCTTTATTTCTCTCCTTTTTCTTCTTCTTGTTATTTTTATTTTTGCCTTGATAGAACGTGAATCGGTTGTCCTTGGTTCTCGCTTGGGATTTACCTAAAACATTTAAAAATAAAATCAATAAAGAAAGAAAAAAGGAAGGAATAAAAAGAAGATCACACGTAAGAAAAGAAACTGGTTATACGGCATTGCTTTGTGAGATTGTAATATATGTAATGTAAATGTACACTTTGGCGAAAGTTGGCATATCGCAACGGTTCTACGTTCGGGTTATTGCATATCTAGAAGTGAACCGAGCAGAGCGAATGTGAAGCAATTGATAGGAAGAACAAAGTTTGAACTATCATATACCTATTACTGATTAATTTCGAGAAAAAATCAAGCCACACGGAATTATTTTATTCTTCGATTACTCATAGTCATCTTATTCATAACAATTTTTTATGAATCCTATCATCATAGATAAACAAGGAAAATAATAAGACATCTAAATAACATATCAGCTTGAAAAAATAAATCTTCATAAGATAAAAAATAGTAAAAATCCGTGTTAGGACGTTTATCTTTTGTTTTTTTTTTATCACGGGAAGAGCAAAAAGTACCTTCTACATTTTCATCAATGTCCATATGATTAAGTGGTTTGTTTTTTTTTCGTAAAGTGCTTCGTCATCTATATATAGTCTCTAAAAATCCATGAATATTCAGATACGGCTAGAGTCATTTTGTGATCTCACTTGTTCTACTTTGCAAAAACGTCATGTCTCTAATTACATGTAACATCAACTGACAAATATAATTTCATCGAAAAGTGGGTAATATTTATCTAATAATGCAACAATCGATAAGAAATAAATTGACCGAAGAAATTGCAACATGATTTTAACGTTTATTTCGTAAATCTTGGTACCCGTACAAATGGAAAATACTTTACTGTTTTACGTTGCATTCTACTCTTCGATATACGAATCGTTTTGCCAAAGAGACGAAATGAGAACATAAAATGAAATGGCTTCTGAACAAATAGCATTATACTGCGTTTACTTTATAGAACGAATAATCAATCAAGCATATTTACATTCTATCGATAGTATATATTTTATTACGTTTTGGTTAATATGTTAAAATACCTATAATATAATAAAATATTAACATATTATTTTCTTTTAACTCTTTACTTTTTGACAATGAGATTTATCCTTTCAAGACTCTCTATTTTACTACCTGTTTTTTTTTCTCTCTATTGTTTTACTCATGATACCCCTAATCTCATTCGCACTTTTAATATAATACACGTTTCTATAAACTAATGAATATCATTATTAATTCGATTGACGCATTTCACATCTATATGCAGACACCTAATTAATTCTAGAATTTTCCACACTTTTCTCTGCTGTCGATCGTTTGATCTCACACGCACATATACACACACAACTAACGCTGGAACTTTTAATACTATTCTTTTAATTGTCGATCAAGATTTATCTCACACATCTACGCATACAACTAATTATTATCCGAATCTTTGATATTACTTTTTCTATTATCTATCATATCTCATATTCACACACACACACACATCTGACTAATGGTAGAAATTTCCATTGCACATATATTAATTGAAAGGAACAACTCGCAAATTGTCTTTGCAATTCGCCAATACAATTCTCGTTCCAAATAAACGAACCGCATATTGAAAAAAGATTTTATACGAAATTTCGCGTTATTACTTATAATTAGACGATCGTAAAAATGTTGGCAAGAGTTTTAAACGAAACAAAAGAAAAAATTCGCTACGTCGAATTCGTTGCAAAACCTCGACCAAAAATTATCTCGAATAAAAAATGATTTGCACAATATATACGTTTTTCTTGAAATAAATTCCTTTGTTCTGTTAATAAAATTTCGATAGAATTTTCGACAACGTGTTGATAGAATGACAACAATGACCTAACTAATTTACAAATTAATAAATTTTGACTTATTTTATCAAGGAAATGATATTACTATACATTTATTAAAAAATTAAGTTTCCATAATGGCTCCTGAATCAAGGATCAATTTATTATGAATCAATTAACAACTCTAATTATTATAGAACATTGATTATTTATTTACGATGAAGAAAAAACTTATTTCCTTTTTGAAGCACATAAATGTCATTGATTATATGATAATTATTTATGTTAATAAATAATTAACCATTAATTTTAAACAATAATTTATATATTCAGACATGTAAAAAGTTAGATGGAAAATTATAGAGATTGATTAACAGAGTTTTTTTTCTACTGTTGTGTATACGTACGTATTTCAACTATAGTCGCAAACAGATTGAATTATTTAAATTCAACTTTACCTTCTTGTGTCATACTAACTTATATTAGCAAAAACTTTTTCTCCGATCTTATTTGTTGATTATTAGTCTAATAATGAATAGATAATATCAATGATATAATAACACGTGTTGTTCAATACGTATATTATAGCAATACGTCGAGGTGATTAAGAGCAAAACCTGATCACCAATGAAAAAAACTAATTTAACACTTAATGCTTCATCTACAATATTTTTTTTGCAAATTCAAAGATTTACGAGTAATTACAATGTAAAGGATAATGAAAGAAATCAAATATGAGCCCCGTCAATGTCATCAAGTTTAGGATGTTCATCCATGAAAACAAAAAAAAAAGATTTGTCCTTATTGAACAATAAATTACTTGATAATAATTTATATATTATATACTAAATTATTGATGTAAATAAAATATATGTCTTATTATTTAGATAAAACTGTCAAATTAATGAAACATATTTAATGAGCACGCAAAAATTATTTACATTTAACATTCACCTTTAAGTTTGGCCCTGTTTCTTACTCACTTGTAAATCGCAATGTACAATTACCCTATTGTTGGAAGAAAAATCATTTAAAGTCACCAAATTGACGTACCACGACAAGTATTATTATCTAACTTCCTATGTCATTATTCCTCTACACGCTCTCGGATGAACGTTATCAAAGAATTGTAAAGAAAACTGAATATAAATTATTTTCACTAGGTCCATACTTTGTCTATGAATATGTTTTATGGTTCAAAATCTTGATGTTGAAATCCTTATTGAAATGATACTTTCCATTAGTATAACGATCTCAATTGAATATTAAAATACCATTATTAATGATGCTTGCAGAAATATTTTTTGTCGAGTTCAGAAAAAGGAAATACCTGTTTGTTGTAATTCGGGATAACTATTCAATCTTCGATTACGATCGATACATTGTTACATAAATGATATACCGCGTTACTCAGGGCAAATATGTAATTCATTAAACGAATAAAAACATATAAGGGAAGTCCACCAACTGTTAACACTTAAATATTTCTGTTATTCGTTATAATATAGAAAAATGTTATATACAAAACTTATATGGCATGAAAGGGGACGTAAATCTTTTTAGCGTGATTAGAGGCATATAGAAATTTTTAAAGTCACCTCGATTTTTTTAAATGCATTCATGTTTTTTTTCTATAGCATGATAGTGGAGTACAATAGCATATGACTCAAGGTCATACAAAATCATCAAAGGTCAAGATTTAGATGATAAATAATAAATATTGCTTTCGAAATTTATTTTATGATAAGGCTCCACTTTATAGCCTTTCAATTATTATTTGTTCGAAATTATAGCAGTTAGCCTTGTATGATGCAATGCTGTCTTGAATGACTTTGTATGACCTTGAGTTTTACATCAGTATACTCCGTTCATGACCTTCTTTCACGCCATAGAAAAGAAAAACATATAAATCCATATAAAAAAATCAAGATGACTTTAAAAACTTCTATACGCCCCTAATCACGCAAAAATATATTACAATCTAATATCGTTTGCTAAGTTTAATCAAAAAAATGTATAACTTGTTATAGTTGCGTAAGTTATAAAAAATCTTCAGAAAATATTTTGAGAATTCTTTTGATAATTTATTGCAACACTTTTTTTAATCAAAATTACACGAAAAATTTATATTTAAAAAAAAACATTAAGAATTCCATTTAAAAATATTAGGATAGCCCTGAAATTTTTTAAAAAACAATATTGACAACAAATTCTTAACATAATCAGGCGGGTTAATGCTAGCACGTAAAAATGTTTAAGCATGATTCAAATCCAACATGCAATTTCAAAAAGATTTCGAAATCCAACGTGCTTTTTTTTTACACTTCATTTGACAAATATTGAAAATTATTTTTCTTGTCATTTTTTGGTCGAATTACATTGGATCAAAAGTGTTGTATTCGGACATTTAATCAAATATTAAAAAACTTAATTTTTATCAAAAATGACGTTTAATAATCATAAAAAAGAATTCATGTAACGTGAAAATATATTCTTTAATTTCAAAACTCAATAATTCTTTTTTGATCCGTTATAAGGTATTTAAATTTAATAATTTACCACTCAATCATCTTTTTTTCTACATTTTAGACTTAACTGTTCATGTGATTATTATGAGCAAGCATAAATTATTCGGCGGGTTTAAATCATTTTAAGAACGAATAATTTTAGCGGTATTTGCTTTTTCTTTTTAAAATCTTTTGTGTCGGGCACACTTATAATGACTAGTCGAATATATACATATTTACATATTAAAGACAAGTTTTTGGAAGTATAGGATAAATGACGAACAGAATTTCTTATTGTACCCTAACACAAATCACGTTAATGTCTTTAAACGAAAATAACAAATTTTCAAAAATAATAATAAAATGTATGAATTTATATGAAACAGATAAATAACTGGCGATGAGAAAGATCGATGATCGCTACGACTTTTTTTTATTTAGCTACAGTAAAAGTAATAGGAACATATATGAAATGTATTTACTTCCGTCTGCTATTACGTTGAATGCCTAAACTAGATCAAGCTTTCACGATCTTTCAACATTTCAAAAGGAAGTGAAATCAGTTAAAAGAAGGAATATTATAAAGATATTCGTTACTTCTATTTACTTATTGTAGAAATCGTTGTCTAGGAATAGCATGTCATTTCTCTCTCTCTCTCTCTCTCTCTATCTATCTATCTCTCTGTTTCGCTACCTCAAAATTAAATATTCTTTTCCATTTTTAAAAGAAATTACTTTTTTATAGCGAAATATAATTCGGCCCACTTTTGTTCGTCAATAATTCCTCTTACTTATCCTCGAGCGTTTCTCATCGTCAAGATTTTAAAAGTTATAAATATGCAATTAAATCTACATAGTAGTAACCATTTACAATTAGATGATTATAGGATATAACGATGCAAACCGACGTTGATCATAATCACAATTATAGCATTAATAAGCACCGAGTGTAATAAACACAATCTTCTCTATCAAACAAAGTAACTATCTCGAAGTAAACTACTACGGTGTTTTTTCATGATGTAACACATAAGCAGCCATGTAATCGTGAAACTGTATAGGTATATCAATAAAAAACTCTCTCATGTAATGGAACGATCGTGATTGTTATATTATGTTGTGTCAAAGAAAATACAGATTAGACATGTTATATAAATAAATCGATGGAGAATGAAAATAGAACGTTATACTAAATGAAACATGAATTTTAAAATATGAGCCTTTAAATAGGTCGAATTCTTGTTTTACAATTAGTTATTAAATTGAAAAAAAAAAAAAACAGAAGCAGAGAGAGAAAGAGAAAGAGATAAATATCGTAACAAGATCTGCAGAGATCTTAGGTATGCTAGTCATTTCAACTTTACCATGAAAATGCATTTACAAAACATTATACGCACTATTAAAATAAAATACTTCTTGACGATTCATCATGTTCATTGAAGCTTATCCACGTGGCACTTCAAAACACCTTTTTGTACTTTAACATATTACGAAACGCAATTTTTCCAAGAATCTTTAGCTACTCATAATATATTCGGAACAATTACTATCTATAACCGATAATCTCTTAATAACATTTTAATATATCCAACACACACACACACACACACACACATAGTTATACCTAAGGTATAGTTCGAGATATTCTTTTTTTAGAAAGCAGATACGTTTCGTAAGTACTCTCGATCATGCTTACAACGTTCGGCATTCTATTGCATTTAAATTCTTAATGGGAGAAGAGATTTCTTCTACTTTTTTTTTTAATATTTCCTTTTAACATTTATGAACTTTCCCATCAAACATTTTCTTTCTTAATTTAATCATTGAAATTAAAGAAAGTCAGATACTTTAATTGACCTTGACTTAAGGAAATGACCTACGAATTATATCTCGAAACATATTGACGTGTATAGGGATAAATAATGAATTTGTATCACTATGACTCGTACGTATAAGTAATACGAATTCACAGAAAAAAAAAAAAAGAAAAATAAAGATAATTAAAATTATTTCAATATATGGATAAATTTACAGGACTATATAAAATGACTAAATAACGTTTTCATCTTGGATAGTAGAGTATCAACTTAACATTTTATATTTTTCCTAATTTTGAACCGACAAAGTAATGTATATTTACTTACGTAAGATATCTCCGTTCCAGTAATTCTTTCTTGATATTTTGTCGTTCTCCGAAAAGCGCAGGTTTGCTCTATTGCGCGCGAGTGCGCGCGCGCGCACACAGCTTGCACTCACACACTTTCACACGGAGAGACGGAGAGATACGCACTCGTTCGTAAGTTCGTTAACTGGCCAATAAAATGTGTCTCTTTATGTAATATACTAGAAGTCAGAGTGAAAATAGGGTGAATTGTGGTCGAAGAGTGAGAGAGCAATAGAATGAATGAAAGAAGAAGGAGAGAGAGAGAGAGAGAGAGAAAGAGAGAGAGAAAGAGAGAAGAGAAAAAGAGAAAGAAGAAAGGGAGAGAGCGGAATGAGTTTCTCTCGTGGATCACCGGTGATGACCAAACAAACGATTAGCCGCGTTCTTTTCGACAACTTTTCCGCGATCCGCTCGGAGATTTTCTTTTAAATGAATTTCCGATGAAACGCAGTTACCGTGTACTCCTTTCTCCCTAGATATCACTGTTACATACACCGTTTAAATCCTTCTATACTTATCGACTTCGAATTCTATATGAAGAAAACGCGAACTTTACCAGGAAGCTTTCGACCAAGCATTCAAATCACCGTCGCGATCAACCTCTATGCGGACACTGAAAACGGTCGTAGATGAAATGCTCTGATGAACTCGATAGAAGAAGAAGAAGAAGAAAAAAAGAAAGAAATTGTATATCGAAAAAGAGAAACGGAACTGACCCCCTCCAGATATATCGGCCGGTATATAGAAATTAATCGAACGTTCTTTAGCAAAATTGTACCGTTATTATAAACTTGATTTTTATATTTCTTCTTTTACTTCTACTTCTACTTCTACTTCTTCTACTTCCTCTTCTTCTCTATCTCTATTCCTTTCTCTATCTCTCTCTCTCTCTCTCTCTCTCTCTTTCTATTTTTTTTGCTTGGACTTTATTTATTTTTAATATCCTTTATTTTTTGTTCTCCGATAACAAAATCGTGACTTGCACGATTTTTCAAATTCACGCACGATGATCGATGAACTAACAATAAGATCGCTTGACGAAGTGATAGCAATTAAATAGAAGTGTCTGGACCATCGGTAAAACGTTGCTTCGTACCAACCTCGTATCCAAAGAAGAACTCAACAGTAATGGTAACGATGCTAATGGTGGTAGGTTTGTGCTCTCTCGCTGCTGATACTCGTGGTGGTGGTTGTAGAAGAAGTGATGGTAGTAGAGGTGGTGGTGATGAAGATGGTGGTGGTGAAGATATAGGTAATAGTGGTGGTGGTAATGACGACAACGACACTGACGAAGAACTGGACGTCCAGGTAAACGTACGTCCCGAAGGTTGTTTTATTTTAATTATCGTATTTGTAAATTTCGTGAATTGTACTATTCCATTTCATAAAATAAATGACTGCTGCCTTTTGTTCGATAATTTATCGACATTGAAATAATGTCACATGGTCGCGTGTAAAAGTTCCAAATAAACCATTATAATAAAAAAGGAAGAAAAAGAAAGAAAAAGAAAGAGGAAGAAAAAAAAGAAAAAGAGAACGTTTCTTTAAGATGCTGAGAATAGCCTTATGAAACCATCTTTGATCTTTTACGTGTCAAGGATGATTCACTTTTTGGTGTCATTTTCGTGAACTTCTACATATATATTATATTTTTATGACCAAAAAACAAGATGTGAAAAAACTTTATTCAAATTTCGATTTTTATTTTCTTTCTCATTTTTATTCTTCTTCTTTTTTATTTTATCCTTTATGAGTAATCGAATAATAGATAATAAATTTCGAATTTTTTCTTACATATGTAAATCAGTATGTCATTTAGATTTTATATAAAATTTTGAAATAACAAAAGTATTTTCAAACATTGATTGATTGATTAAGTTTATAGCGAATTTCTTTATTTTCTTCAACTATCGTCGTTCTTTATACACGTGATTAAAACCTTCCATAAAGTCATTTGGTGTAAAAAAGTATCGACGTTCAAGTGAGTCGCATAAACAACTAACATAGGAGAGAACGTATAAAATGTTTCATGTAAAAATCAACAATCGATAGCTACCAACGTCACAAGAAACGTAGGAATAATTTTCTCCTAGTTGCGTTCTCTTTCTAATTAACTTGACAAATGATAAACGAGTTTTTCATATCGTTATACATGCAAGATTGCAAGAAGGGGACATGTACTTAATTGCGTCAAAGTATATCTTGTTAGGAAATGGTTTGCCCAAAGGTTAACCCTCGATTATGCTATACAAGTTGTTGCTTCATAATTATACATTAATGTAAGATTTCAACCGAATACGTTTATACTGTCCTTGCTCGCAACTCGAAGAAATTCATTAATCCTTCTGCCCGTACATTTTCGGTTATTGTTTAATTTATATTTGCCAAATTTGTAATTCTTTCATTCGATGCATATAAACAAATTTATTTTTTACGCGAGTCATCTTTTCTTGAAGATTTGCTAAAATTTGTGATGTCAAGAACGAAGATCAAATTTATCAATGACTTTTTTCCACGCCTTATTCGTAGAATATCCACGACATGTAAATAGGAAAATTACACGTTATACAATCCTGTATAACATATATGTATATATATATTTAAAAACAGACGAATAACTTATACGATTTTTCTCTTCGTTTTTTTATTTAAATACGTTTAAAATAAATACATATATATATTAATAGATGATAAAGATTTTTCCTATAGTTTTTATTGTAATAAACGCTTATGCAAATATATAAACGTCTTTATAAACATATAAATGCAATTGTCATTTTTGTTAGAAATCATTGTGTCCTAAAAACTTATCACAAAACAGAAAAAACATAACGTCATTGATAATAATTACAGTACTGTCTTTCAACCATTGTTTTCTTTTATACATTGACGTAAGAACATATTTATTGACTGGATCGTACACAATGAGTACAAGGTCTCCTTGGTTTTTCGGGGTAAATGGGTATTGCAAGATGAAAAGAGAAATAAGTATATGCGAAGAAAGTAAAAAGAACATAAAATTCTTAAAAGATCAATAAGGAAACGTAACTCTACAGAGAAAACAAATTCTCTAGACAATGACGTCTAGATCAAATTCATGGTAATCATTGAATGTTAATTCAACGATATTTTTATTTAACATATATGAGTAACAAAATACCTTATATCAACATCCATTTCTTCTACTAAAATTCGATATTAAATCGACCTACGTGATAGAATAACAAGTAGAGACAAAAAATTCTGCACTATTTAACATTGAAACTGCATCACGTGACTTTGAATGACATAAATAAGGTCATCGAAGAAAAGAAAAATTAAAATAACGACGTAACAGTAACTTTTTATGATTTAAAAAAGTATATATATTTATACGAAAAAAGAATGTTTCTAAACAAATGGGACTGATTTTCTTTTTAATTTTTTCTCTGTGACTGTATAATAATCTTAAATATTTTATAAAGAAAAGATATATATAATAGAAGTGTTTATATATATATATATAATTATTCTTCCTTAATAATTATTTCTTCTTTCGTAAGAATAATATCTTGATCGAAATAAGGTCTTTATTTTGAAAGATTTATTATGAAAAAGTTGCAAATATTAAAAGAATGCAATATCAGCAGTTAATACGTGATGATAAACGGATTTTAACCATACCGGAAACATACTTCATTCATGCTAAATAATCAAAAGTGAAACGTCGGTAAGAACAAAAATGACACATCGCGACGAATCAATATATATTTTCATCGTGTATCTTGTCAGAATTAAATAATTAACTACCTTTCAAAAGCTCAGATCGTTGTAGTTTTACGAAAATCATATTTTACTAAAGAAAACAGGAAAAATGGTGAAAAAGGAAAAGAGAGAAAGACATAGAAAGAGAGAAGAATGGAGAAAGATCCAAAAGAAAGTTAGCCGTATTGAGGTCACTGTTAATAAATCGCTAAAAACGATCAAACATTATCAATTATCGTATCATCAATCTAAGAGGTGAAAAACTATAAATTTATTTCTATGTGCACATGCGCAATGTATAAAATTTATATAAAACTTTATATTAATGCAAAAATATCAATATTATTTATTCATGAAAAGATAAAAACGCTGAATTAATTTGCTTTATATATACGTAAAAATCGATCAATCTTTTAAACATATAACAAGAAAAAAGATATCTCGTGACCTATATAAACATAGAATGTAATTTTACTATATAAACAAAATACTACCTCAATACAAAAAATCATATTAAAATGATATAAAAACGTGGACATTTCTTCTTTTATTTTAAATATAATTTATCGTGCTAATCTTATTCATAAGGTTTCTACACTTTTTGTATGTGAAACTGTTGTTTAGTATAGGTGATACCTTGATAATTTAGGAATATTGAATTCGTATCTTCGGACTATCATCACAAGATCGATATAGTAAATAAAGACGAGAAAAAAAAATAATTCTTTAAAATCGAATTCAAAATATATATATATTCTAATTAATAATTCATATAATTCATAAATTATTTCTATCAAAAACTCATTTTGAATATAATGATTTCTAAAAAAGAAAAAAAAAGAAGAAATAAATCAATGGCATTAATGAGTAATAAAAAATGATAGTTTCGATCCAAACAACAAAATAAACCAAAGAATTTGAAATATTTTCTTTTCGTAGAATAAATTCAAACCTTGACATAGCATTCTCACGTTTATCTTTCCTACGAACAATGAAATAAAAAAATAAAAGTAAAAGTTCGAGAGACTTTTTAATGAAAATAAATAACATATGGTTTCTCATCCGCAATTGAATTGCGATTCGTTCGTAGAACTTCCTTTGAAATAAACGACACACGGAGAAATATAAACATATCTTGTACATACTTTTGTATGTACATGCATGCATATATACATACATACATAAGTACGTATGATGTACGCATGAAGACCATAATCGTGGATCGTTGGTCGAAGCAATAGAAGACGATGCAAAATGTTCTTTTTCACTGCTAGTATCAAATCGACGGTGTAATTTAAGTTTCTTATTTCTCGATGTAATCTCACAATTCTTCCGGTCGCAAACCAACTCTAGAAAGAACCGTTGCCACTAATAACTTCCATTGGTCATAGGAATTTGATTTATTTCTTCTTTAATAATCAGCTAAAAAAACTTTTAATTGGAATGAAAAAAGAATTTTATTATTTTCAGTACTCACACACAAAATTTCAAAATAATATGTATACGTATATTTAAAAGAGAAATTTGCAGATTTCGAAAAACCTAACTGAAAAACAAAGATTTATTTTTATTAGGAACAACCCCAATGTTATAATATTTTACATCAATGATTAAATTGTGTCTAATTAGAATGTAAACAAAATTTAGATATAATAAAAAATTCTGTTCAATATAATAAGAAAGGTGAAAGCTAAGAATATTTATACCCTCGATTAAAGTTATATAAATGAATAGTAAATAGACATAGCATTAAAAGTTATAATCATAAAAAAAATATCAAAATCAAAAAGCTGGTAATAAACTTTGGTGAAATTAGAAAATAAATAATTCTGATTTATTTTTTATTCCTTCCTAATGTGACACTCTTTTTTTAGAAATTCTCTTCCGAATTTTTATTTTCCTATCATTATAATCTCTTTTTTTAATTTGCTTCTTTTTCTTGATTTTTTGCTTTTTTCATTTGCTCTGAAGTTGTTACAAAATGTAAATTTTTCTTATTATAAGGAAATATTACTCATACATTACAATAATAAAATTAAAAAAGTATTTATCAGTCTGATCTATGATGTAAGGTATCAATTTGATGCTAATGTGATATTAAACACGTCTGAATAAAAAAAAATAATAAATATTAATATCCTCATATAAAAATATGATCCAAGAAACAAGTTCATTAACTTAGAATTAATCATTTAAAAATATGATCTTTTTGTAAAATACAGCAATTTAGTATAATTAATTTTTTGTATCTCTTATAATAAAAATATTTTTAATATGTTTCGAATAAAAATATTATAATAATTGCCCATGAGACCTTCATTATTATGTTAATGTAACAAAAAAGCGATTATGTTTTTAATGAAAAATATTCATAAAAAATGAATTAATCTTTCTTAAACAATTTGTCGCGAATTAATATCCATCAAGATATTTTTTATTTATATTTCTTACAATTAATAAACTCATGAACGAGAGATAAGATCTACGAAAATTTGCCGAAAGAATATTAATACCTCAATAACTTTAGAATTTATTTTTAATAGAATTTTTAAGTTACTAAAATCTAAATAAAGTTAAAATTATAGGATTATAAACCATTCATGTAAGTAAGAATTAAAATATATTATATAACTTACGCCTTTATTTGCCAAAATTAATATTGCATTTTGTGTTTTTAAGCACATATTATTCGATAGCTATTGTTAATTTTATTATAAACGTCTCAACGTAGTATATTTATTTGATATATTGATAGAAACCTATACTGCAACATATATACTAATTTATACTATCGTTTTCCTGAAATATTAAAATAAATGGTAAAAAGAAATTATTCTTCGAACATTATAAACTACTGTTTGGTTTCTATAAATAATTACGACGTTACCTAGATCATACAACATCGTAGCTCAAACGAAGAGTCAAAAGATTGACTATTTAATTAACATAATATATTATAACATTTATTTGTAATTTAGTAAGTATATATATATATATATATATATGATATAACGCTTGTTACAGAGACAAAGTATAATTAATGTTATAAACAATAAATTGAAATTCTTAAAATAAAAATAATACTGAATAATGAAGTTCCATCTTCCCTACAAAATATTAAAATTCCAATAATTTACATCCATAAACGTTATTTACCGACTATTGAACCCTTAATTTCTTCTTGTATGTGTATTTTTCTAATCATAAGTAACTTATTGTTCAAGAAGATGTAATGATTGGTCAAAAGAATTCATTTTATAAAAAATAATATTAACATTGACGATGTTGCTATTTCAAAAACATTAATTTGTCTTAAGATATGCATATATACATATACATTTATGTATATATCTTTAAAATGCAATCGTAGCATTAATAGTTTAATGACGCATCATCATTCCATATACGAATTTCATAAGAAATTCAAATAATCTTTTATCTATGTTTAACGTACATGATAATACATTGTGAAGAAGCTTAAATTTTAGTGTGCGTCATAAACTTTAGAGATAGTATACTATAAGGAAGTAAGTAGTGATGTACATACCTCCCACATATGATTTACTCTGTTTTCTTCTCAAAATGTTATGAAACTGTATAGCATTTATGTATATGTAAACAAAATCACGAAAATGATAATAGTTAATGTGAAATATAATAATAAAAGATATAATTTACAATCTTCCTGCATTTTGTATTATTCATATTTTAATATAGCATAAAATGCTGGCTCGGATATATAACGATTCTAATTTTCAATTATCTCAAGATAAATTTATGTCAGAATAATTTGTACAAAAGAACGATTCAATTTAAGTACACTGAATAGGCGTTGTAGCGTTGTTAGGTATAATAAAGTATAGTATTTCTTGTACATCCTCCTGGAGATTAATTTCAGAAAGAGAGCTAGATTGAGTGTAATTTACATTTATTACTAATTATAATGACATGGTTTGTATATAGCTATCAATATTCTTTCAATATGTAGCACAATACAAAACAGTACATTGTTTAACCATAATTGTTACATATAGCCCGAATTATTAAAACAGATCTATTAACTTATAGTCTATACACCTTGCAGGAAAACTTTGCACGTCTAAATACCCAAAATTGACAGGAAAATAATATTTTGCAATTCTTAAATGAATAATTCTAAAAAATACTAAAGTATAATTTCAAAATAATCATATGGAATATACAATTAATATTAAACTACTTAATAATCAATATAATCATCATAAATATATAACGGATATGTTTCAACAAAAAGGAAATCAATATTTTCGGTTGTTCCCTTCTTGCTTATTGAGATAGAATAGTGAAGTATATTCACATTTTATATTACTTAAAAAGAAAATGTAGATCTTGTGCTTAAGTCTAAGAAACTTTTGTACAACACAATGAAGCGATTCGATTATAAATATCTATCACCAGCATTAACAAAATCATTTAATTCACATAAAATAATTACTAACCACTTTTTATGTATAGTAAATCATAGATTAGATAGCAGTTGTCTCTAAACACTGAGATCTTCACAGACGCATCGTCTTAAGTATTGCCTCGAATGCAAGGTAACTACATTATATTTAAGTAGAATACAATAATTATTTAGTTATTGATACTATCTTCACAGACATTTTTATACCTTTACATTTTTTTAATAGACATTTCAATAATACTCACTACAATCTGTCGAGATTTTTTTTTTAATCTGAACTGTTGTTAATGAAATACTTTTTTATTTATTATGACTCTGTGTGGAGAGTAAGAAAGAGAGCATGGTAATACATTTATGTGTTAATAATTTATCTGTAGTTCTCTGTAACATGTTTTCAACTTGATATAGAATTTCTACTCACATTTATATAGGTGAACATTTCTACAAAAAGTAATTAAGATTTAACTTTCATATGTAAATACACACACACTTTCGAATATTTTAATATTTATTTTTTGTTAAATGAAAATGTTTTAGATAAGATTGCACTATTCAAAGGAATTAAATATGGCAATCTTAAATGAACTCTTAAAATGCATTTAAAATATAAATTCTTGGCTTTTAAATAAATAGTTTTTTGTTCTAGAAAATAGGTGAGACAATAATCATAATTGCTATTTTCCATAAAATCAATAAAATAATTAATTTCAATAGAAAACATGTTGGAATATCTTGGAGAATTACATTTAGTACATAATATAATTAGTTATAATCAAATATTTTTAAATAAAAATTAGAGTAATTATATCATAAGCATATACTATTTATTAAAGCTTCTATAACTGAAATACAATATGAGAAAAAATCATATTAAATATGAATCTTGAAATTTATGAAAGAAAAACTTTTTTCTTTTCAAACTTGCAATCCAGAACACCAGTTTTTAAGTTATCATACATTTAGTACCTTCATATTTGTAAACTGGTGATAAAGAACAATCGCCAACAAAAATACTGCATAAATATTATAAAAGTAATACTAAGAGATTGCAAATGACTAGCAAATAAATATACTGAAAAAAACAATAAGTTACTGTACAGTATATATTCTTTTTTCTCTATGATTTTAATAAACCATGAGCTTTCTTTCCAACATCAGATCACACCTACACATTATTAAAGTCTCACAATGCACATTAATAATATCCGGGTTTACTATGAACACGTCACAATGTTAAAATATACATAACCTGTGCATGTGCTACTTCTTAGACATTATGGAATTACTATATTTATTCATTACAAGATTTAATATTTAATTCTGTTATTGATGAATGTTCATCATAATTCGTGCCTAGAAACTCGATGGCATACTTTGGATGTACCTAATGTTTCTTTGTGTCATTGGGCGCATGAATAGGTGTAACTTACAAGTGGTCAACAATAAGAAGCACAGTTTAACAAATAACGCTTCCTCTACATCTGCCATGAAAACTTACTCTACAATTAATGCTGCCCAGCGATCTATCAGCAAATAAAGTTCTTCTCTTCTGTAAGAAATAAATAATAAAAGAATAAAATTACCGAAAGTTACATTACTTTCATATTACTAAAGAAACAGAAGGTAAAATTACCTCAGAGAAAAACAAACTAGAGAGAGCAGTATGTTTTCAGGATGGATTAATCTGATCCATTTTTCTTCGTTGGTAGTTCGCTGTGCATCTTGTGAAAATATATTTCGATAATGACTATGGATGACATTTAATAAGCAGGAGCTTGAAAATCCCCCATTCCCCGCTGCTGTTGACCAAATGGTGGTTCTTGATAAGCAGCATCCGTAGCGTCAGGATAACTTGTATATCCTGTTCCACCTACAGGATCTGCTTCGTAACTTGGAGCAAAGGCTGCATCTTGTATACCTTGTCTTAATCTTTGAAATGCAAACCAGGCACAGCCAGCCTATGCAAAAATATAGATACATATTTTCCGAAAGGTCATGGAAAATTTGACACTATTAAATTATTCTCACTTTACGATGAATACCAAATTGTAAATGAAAAACTTACCCAAGTAAAAATTGAAAAAAATGAAAATGCAATAGCTCCTTGTACATTATTAACACCGTACCCATTTGATGGCGATGTAGATTGATTCCAAGCGTTTGTAAGGTAACAGAAGCCGACAAAATATAAAAATGCCCAGAAACCCGAAAAACTAAAAGATAGAATATATACGTGTGAAATCAACGATTACAAATCAATGGGAAATTTTATTTGCAATTCTATCATTTTATAAACTTGTTATTTAATAAAAATATTTAATAATTCTATGAAATAATTGATTAGGCTTACCCAAGATCTAAAAGGACAAAATGTTTTCGAGTTTTAACAGAGGACATTTGTTCAAACAGATATTCTCCAGCAAGGAAACCAATACTAGCTAAAAATGCTAAAACACCTATTCCAATGCCATAATTACAGGCATTATTGTCGTCATTGTAGAGGCACACCTCTTTGTCTTTTTTTGTAATGTATCCCTTGCTGCTTATGCACCCAAATACTATTATAGCAAAGAGCTGAAATTCATTAAACTTTCTTTATTAAATTTATCTTTCTCATGCCTTTTTTTAACTAAAAATGTTTGAAAAGTATTTATAATCTTTAAATATATATGTATATAATTTGATATTAAAATAATTCCAAGTTAGAGTATAAGATGACATGACTGTTATCACATATATCCTTTTTATATATCGAAGTGATAAAACAAAATGGAATAAAATCGATAGAAAGACATATCCTATATAGATATGATATTATTACAAGATAAAATCGATGTAACGAGTTTGATTAAAAAGCCAAGAATTTTGATTTAGTCGATAATGTACATAAGCGCACTTTGCATAAAAATCAACCTACTAAATAAGACGATTTAAAAATATCATCTTATTAAAGATGATTATAATCGACATTTTCGAAATGTATTAGATCAATCGAAGTTATGATGGATTTCAATTGAAAATCCCATAGAATCTTGTATTATGGGGCGTACCACTGGAATTCGCGAAAAATCAATAGAACCCCATCATGGATAGGGGTGGGGGCTCAAGTTCTTTTAAAATCAATGTATTTACCATCTCAAATTTAGTTCGACCTATCAAGCTATAGAATAGGAAACATTCAAAAAAATGAAATTTTGTTATAATGCTTAAACTTACCAAGCATGCTGCCCTTAAAATAACTAGAGGCCTTTGAATGAATGCGATAGGATCAAAAGGCGCTCCTGCCTTTCCTCCACCGTACGCTCCGCCGCCGTCCATCTTAATGCAACTGAAGTGAAATTTCAAAGCTTTCGAAGAAAGACACCACGCACGCGCCACACAATACTCATCCTCTTGTGCAGTATTTTATTAAGCCATTATTGTAAACTCTCCAATTTATTCGATATGTAGTTACCTAAATAATCAAATATTAATATTTTAGATTGGAGAAAGAAATAACAAGAATAAAAATAAAGTTGTTTAATATCAGCATTTGGAATTTGGTATTCAACTAATTATATACAAAATAATTAAAATAATGGTTAATAAAAATGGAACTTAAAATTGTTAGTACCACAAGTATCATGCGTATTGAATTTATTTATAATTCTTACAAAAATTACATATCCGTTTGTATAATTCAGAAATAATTTTCTATTTCAATAGTGATTGGTTAATATTATCTTTTCAAGCTGACCAATCAATATACGACAATTAGTTAAACTTATATCTGATTGGTAGTGACGATAATATTACGGGACGAAAGATAATAGTAGAACGGTGTAGAATTATTGTACACACCTTTCGTGTGTGATTATCGATTTTATAATGTGTAAAATATATATTACATAATTTAGTTAATAGTAACTGTTTTTTTACATAAGATATAAATAATTATAATTTTAAACAGTAAATATATAAAAGAGCATATAAAGACGTTCGTAAAATAAAAGGATTTTTCCGATGATGGCGCCACAAAAAATTTAAATAACATGCATTATTAAACACATCATTATTTTCGTTAAACATTTGTTTTATAGACTTTATTTTTATTTATATATTTAAAAAAAAATACATATATATCAATATATATAAATATGACATAGTTAATGACGTTATATATTAAAGATGATTAGTTGACGTAAAACTTTTGCCACGTGTCAAGTCACGACTACATTACCGACCGATAAAGTACCTTTTATTGTTTTATATATGTTAATATAAAATAATAATTAATTAAATATAATTAAACTTGTTGAAATATATATATTTTTTAATTGTTATATTATTAAATTCTTTAAATTAAACTTATTAAACTTTTTATCAATTTTGATTTGCAGTTGTGTCGACCACTACGGTCACGCTAAGGTGGTATGGGAGACGTTCAGACAGTATAAAAGAGCAGGGAGCGATGCAACAGTCCGGCTTCTGAGGGCATCGTCGTTAGATCAGTTGGGATTATTGGTATTGTTTTTCGCCTGATAGACAATACGAATTATCCTGCAATGGCCCTCAGCCAAACTAGTGTGGTAAGTAAAGGAGAAATCAATGGCAACTCCAAAGAAATATGACTGTAATAATGAAACGTGTACGTTTTAGTTCTAAGAAATAATTCGACATGGTTATGCGAAGCCACGTTGTAAAGGAATAAATTGTTCACGTGGTTCATATACTTGTCACCTAATTTGAGGAATCCTCTCCAACTTATATTTTATTAAATGTTTTCTATCATTTGATTACAACTTTTAGGTTAATCGTAGTTTTTATGTTCTTAGGAACGTATGAAACACTTAACATGCATTAAATTATCTTATTCTTCTAGTTATTCCGAAATTTATTACTTAATCTTTATTTTCATACTTTAGAATTGTTAGTCTTCATTTTAAAAAAGAACGTAATATTTATTATATAAATTATTAAATATCTAATAGATTAAGATGGCATAACAAATTCGTTCAGTAACGTTCACGTTATTAATATTACACAAATTAGATTAAAAACCATGTTATTTATATACTTCCAATATAAATGATCATAACTAGATACAAAAGAAATACATACTTATTTTTCTTTTTTATAAGTATGCATTTTGGTAGAAAACAGAACATATATATGATTTAGTCTTTACTAATTTATTGTTTCAAATTTTATTAATTAATTTTATTTACTGAAACTGATGCATTTAAATAAAACTTTTATTTTGATTTTATAAATAACAAAATACTTTGACGATAACTACCATATTATATTACTTTGACATATTATTTACAGTTGAGACTATACAACACTGTGATAGAAGATGTAATAGCAGGAGTTCGAGAATCGTTTATAGATGAAGGTGTAGATGAACAAGTATTATTAGAATTGAAACAAATTTGGGAAACGAAATTAATGTCAAGTAAAGCAGTGGAATTAAATCCAGAACCACAAGAACCACAAGTTCCTCAGCTAAACACACATAAATCTGTGCCTGGTAATAAAGGTATAACGATACATATAATTACAAAATATTCGTTACTAACATAAGAATTTAAGATAAAATTATGTTCTATAATATATATATATTTGCCAATCATCTATTATTGATGCAGTGTCCCAACAAACGCAGCAGCAACAACAACCAACACCGCAGCAATCACAACCGCAACAACAGCAACAACAACATCAACAACCACAACAATCACAGCAACATCAACAACAACCATCACAACAACAAACATCACATTCTTCAAGTACACCATTACAACACCAAAATGCACCGGTGCAACAAGTGGTAACGACTACTCCACCTGCGGTACTTGATAGACAAGTGCCAATTCAAATTACTTTACCACCACAACCTGGTACACGTGATTCTCAACAACGTATATTAACTATACAAGTTCCTGCATCTGCAATTCAAGGTATATAGAGTTCAGAGATTATCGTATATCATATTTGTTTGTAAGCTAAAGCAAATTATTCTGTTTAAAGGCAACCAACTTCACACCATTTTAACTGGTCCTATAATTAGTGCTGCAATGGGTTTGCCAGCAGATGTAGCTGGAACATTATTACAACAGCATGTAAATTCTACTTTTCTGGGTCATCCTACATTATCACCAATTCAGGTTAATCAACCCTTACAGGTTGTAACGCAAAATACAAATAATGTTGTTTCACAGCGATCTGTTCAAGGTCAAGTAAGTACAATTTTTAAATTTACAAAAATTTACAAAATTTTTTAAATATTATTATAATTCATGAAGTATAGAAATATATTATTAGTTATTTCTCTTATATATATATATATACATATATACATATATATATTTTAGCAAAATAACATAGCCCAATTAGATGGAACTTTAGGAGCATTGGGTGATTCGTCAGATGAAGATGAAGAAGAAGAAGAAGAAGATAATGATGACGACGATGAGGATCTTGATGATAAGGAAGAAGAAGAAAATGATGAAGCTACTGCCCGAGAAGAGGTATTTAAGAAAATTATTATACAATTTAAAATAGTCGAAGATCGTAAATATTTAACTTATATTTCTTTTCATCCAGGAACCATTAAATTCTGAAGACGATGTAACAGATGATGACCCATCTGATCTATTTGATACAGACAATGTAGTTGTTTGTCAATATGATAAAGTAAATTTTTATATTATTAAAAAACCTAAAGAAAGATAGTTTAACCATTGTAATATGTAAATGAAACATTACATTAGAAATATTTATGTATGATATATACAAATATTTTACTTTTCAGATTACAAGGAGTAGAAACAAATGGAAATTTTATCTTAAGGATGGCATAATGAACTTAAGTGGGAAAGATTATGTGTTCCAAAAAGCAAATGGAGATGCTGAATGGTAGATTTGAAGATGAAGTGAATATTGTGTTGTCCGGTTTTATTTTTAACAGACTTTATACAAGGGCAGTTTAATAATGTGTTCATGTGATGTTGCGCTTGATGGACAACATTAAGCTGTAAACATTCTATAATGAGGCAGTAAACCACGTAATAATACTATTATATCGAAAATTAAAGTGGTTAAACTCTCTGAGAAAGTAAAAAATCTAGATTCTATATCTTCTATATTTTAATATTTTAGTAATTATCAAAGTTAATATAATGTGAATTTATTAATATTGTTTATTTAAAAAAAGGTTTAAAAACAGTTAAAAGGTTAAATAATTTTTTATTGTTTATTAAAAATTTATTGTAATATTTTATTATTTTATTAGTGGTACTATTCCTCATAAAGAAAGTTACAGCAGCTGTTCTTATATCGTTTTACAACACAAACATTATTGTTAAATCAATAATGTATTTAGTGAAATATTTTAGTTAACATTACTAGTTGTGTCAATGATTATCGCATCAAGAATTTTAATTATTATTCTTGCTGCTTTATATCCTTAGGATTTATAATTATTGAACTTTTACATAATTACAATAACTGTAAATAAAGTAAAGGGATGCTAATTATGAAACATATGTGATGCTTTTGAAAATAAATGTGTCTTATACTGTTATTACAGTTAATTAAATTGCGAAATAAAATGATCATTTAATTCTCAAATTAAATCCGATTGATCGACAATAATATCACTATCGATAACGACCTGAAACAGTCGGTAATGCATTTCAAACGAAAGCGGATAACATGCACCCTCGAGAATGTATATACCGAATCACGACCCTGGAACAAAACGCATCTTGTTACAACATAATTAAAGCTTACGGCAAGCAACGAGAAGAAAATCATAAATACAGGACGTTTCCGTAATTATTATAAACAGTTAATGCTCTTATTAGACCAGTTTCGAGCGCGTAACGATTACGGTTAACCTCACTTTTTTTAATGATATTCTTGACAGTGACAGAAAGGGTTAAAAAAGAATAGCAAAGAGACAACGTAAAAAAAAAGTAATAGTAAATAATAATGAAATAAATATAAAGAAAATTATTTTTAATGAAAAAGAAAGAAAATAAAAAAAAAATGTAGTGTTTAAAAGCAAAAGAAAATATCAGGAGAATGTTATATCAAGTGCGTAATCGTGTGTGGCCATGAATGAGGAGAAGAAATTAAAGCGCGCACGAGATACATCTCGGGGATGTTAAGTGGTTTCCCTACGCCGAGATATCTACGCGGGATGGAAAAGACATGCCTCTTTGTGAAGCCGAACGTCCTCTTCATGGATAGTAGTTTGTGCTTCCGAAAACTGTGGGAGTAAGAGTAGTACAAAGTAATAAAGAAAGAGAACGAGAAAGAGAGAGGAGGAACCAACCCACCCGGTCTTTCGGTCCTTTTCCTTCGAAGCATTTAACTCGATTCTCATAGTAAAAGGCAGCAATTGAAATTGTGGGCTCGAGGAGTTATCGTGCATCGTTTAAGTTGTGTTGTCAAGATCAAAACGTTACGTGACCATTACCTAAAAAGGGTCAAACAGGTAGAGTCGACGATTTTAATCGCGATTTTACATTGATCTGTCATTTTAAAAATGCAAGTCAAACGAATCGGTTGGTGTTTGATCTTGAGCATTTTTTTTACATACCACGTGGTTAGCGAGAATACGGACTCCTCAGAATCTAATGGTAAACTCATCTTCTATGTTTACATTACAAAATATAACGAATGTATATATATTCGTTGCCTATTTAATCATTAAAAATTTTACCTTTATTATCGTATATTTGCTTTTCTGCATTCTTTTATTTTTATTCATATTTTTTATCTATTTGTTAATCGTTTGTTCCTTTCCAATATTTGTTCGCCCTATTTTTGTTTATTATCTATTTATTATCTTGTTAGCTTTTTGTATGAGGAGTATACTCGTCTTATGAAAAGTGTAATAGTACTATTTGATATTTAAGTATTTTTAAATAAATTATTAAATAAATTCAATAAAGTAAATATCATTAAATAGAATAGTTTCGCATGATGAGTATTACACAGTTAAAAATTTAAAAGGCACTTATATTTTCTCGAAATTATTTTAATTTTTATATATTCTTATATGTTATATTGCGTACGTGTAATAGTTATATTAAATTTGTGTTGTTTTCTCGAAAACAAAAGAATTAATATACGTTACATATAATATATGATATTAAATCTCATATATAATATTCATTGATTAAATTGATTAGCGATCAAAAATTAAAATTGAAAATTTCTTTTTCGATGAAAATAATTTTACGGTTCATTTAATGAAAAAAATTTAACGAAAAAAATTTAACGAAAAAGATTTAACGAAAGTGACAAGAAGAAATGAGGAATAAAGTAACGTTCGCTTTTTCTTTACTTCTCGAAGATATAACGTAATAATCTCTTTCTAACCGCAAATAACTTTTGAAAGAAACGAAAGTTTTCTCAATTATGCAATTTTTCTCTCGATTGGTCATAAATTATTTACCTACAAAAAGACGAGTATTGCAATAATAATAGGTATAAAATCTATCGTCAATTGTCTTTTTGTTTTCTATCGATCTATCGTTACGCTTTCCAAATTATCGCGCGATTGGAACTAATTTGTTTTTATTAACCAGTTACTTTTGTATATGTCGAAGATTTTTCAACATAAAATACTTTCTTTCGCTCAACAAATATTGTTTTATATTTATCAGGAATCTAACAATAAATAAAACTAAAATCAACATCAAACAAGCAATATAGTTTCATCCTAATTGTATCGTTAATTGGCTCAATGAGATCAACCTATTTTGCTTGAACTTAATTGTTTTCGAGCTATTTCATTCCTAAATTATATTTCTATAGATATATTTTATATTGCATATATTTGAAAATAATTTTTTCTTTAGAAACTCGTTGTGTTTTTATCATCTGGTAACCGGAAACGATGGTCGCTTATTTCGAAATAGTATACGTGACTTTAGAAACGTAAGATTATAAGAGGTCATTTTCGGGATCTACGATATATTTAGCTTATTTATTTTTATCTCTAGTTACCATATTTTATATAATAGTAATAGAATATTAATATTAATAATAAATAATATAAAATTACACAATTGAAAAAAAGTATTTCATTGTCGGCAAGTGTTTATCTTTTCGCCTGCGATGACTATTTCAAATGCGTGGGTTGGTTACAGCAATCGTAATGAGCGCATCTTACTGAATATATACAACATTCTATTCCGTGATACATGTATAGTAAAAAGTAGTGCTATTATATGTCTATAGTAGTGCTATTATATGATATGAGAATATTCTTCCGCAGTATAATTACCTTTTAAGAAGACAAAAAGTTTTACCATGTTTGCTACGTCTATTTTATAGTTTATAATTTATTAATAGAATGTACAAAAGAATAGAGACGAATTTTGATACAAATCATGTATGAAAAAAATACGTGCGATGCATAATTACTATAAATCTTTCTAGATCATATGCAGAGGACGCATTTACCATTTCGCATTCGCTAAACGTTCTGCGGTTTTTCATATTGGGCACTACTTTACGATCGGTTATGACGTCATCGTTCAAACAAAACATTAATCACGTTAATTTTATCAATAATCGATTTTCATAAATGTTATTTGTATATGCATATATGTGCCAGTAATTATGACATTAGATTATTGTAAATTAAAAAATTGGCCGAATTAATGGTTATGATTTATTTACTTATATTACAATTATTTATATTCTAAAAGAAATAGTAAAATGAATTTTTACAACTTTTGAATTTAGTTCAATGTCATAATTACCTGCACATGTGTATATAATTATCTCAAAAGTTGCTTTATATATATGTATATTGAATTGAAATTATAAACATTGTTAGTAGGTGTGTAGAGTAGCGGCACCGCGGACCTATACTTTTTTAACATCACTGTAATTGAGAAAATTCATATACTAAAATGAAAAATTAAATATTGTAATTCTATTAATAATCCAATATTGATTTTTCGTTTTGTTTTTTTTTAGTAAAGCGACTTTTGGGCACCCTATATATATATAGGTCACTTGTCAAAACATATCAAATACGTCGGTGAAAGACCGAATATTTGGATTTATTTTTATATATTAATATTTTGGACATACACAAAGTTCAAAAACCATGTAAATCTTAACATTCTCCAATTTCGGTCTTTCACGGTAATACATATGTGTCTGTAAGTATTAAATTGTTATCATTCCAGATGTTCTCATTTTCACTGTTGCTACAAACGAGACTGATGGTTTCAAGAGATATATCCGGTCTACGGAGGTTTACGGATTCCGTGACTACGTAAGGGTTCTTGGTTTAGGAAAAGAATGGAGAGGGGGTAATATTAAAACCAGTCGAGGTGGTGGATATAAGATAAATCTTTTGAAAGATGCGCTAAAAAATTATCAAAATGATAAGGACAGAATTATCATCTTTACGGACAGGTAGACGTATGGTGAATGATATCAATTATATCAATATGTATTTATATATATATATATATATATATATGTGTGTATATATATAT